TGGCTTTTTTCTTTTTGCTTATGTGGTACTGAGGAATCGAACCCAGGGCCTCATGCATGCAAGGCAAGCGCTCTACCACTGAGCCACCTTCCCAGCCCATTCCCTTTTATTTTTTATTTTTATTTTATTATCTAGGCCTGGGTGCTATCCCTGAGCTGCTTTTTTGCCCAAGGCAAGTGCTCTACCACTTGAGCTATAGCACCACTTCTGGGTTTTTTGAGTATTTTTTGGAGATGAGTCTCATGGAGAGCTTCGAACCATGATCCTCAGATCTCAACCTCTTGAGTATCTAGGATTGCAGGTATGAGCCACCAGTGCCTGGTTGTTAATTCCCTTTTAAAGAGAAAATGAAAGCTGGACATGGCTGAGCCAGGAGGATTACTGGAATTCAGGAGATTGAGACCAGCCCAGAAAACATAACTAAACCTGGAATTAAAAAAAGAAGGGGACCAGGCGCTGGTGGCTCATGCCTGTAATTCTAGCTACTCAGGATCCCAGTTCAAAGCCAGCCTGGACAGGAAAGGCTGTGAGACTCTGATCTCCAATTAACCACCAGAAAACCGGAAGTGGCACTGTAGCTCAAGTGGTTGAGCTCTCTCCTTGAGCTGAAGAGTTGAGGTACAGCGCTCAGGCCCAGAGTTAAAACCTCATGACAGACAAAGAGAGAGAGAGAAGGGGTATGTTGGGGTGGAGGGGTAAGAGGGGGGAAAGGAAGAGAAGGAGGGAAGGGAAGGGTACAAAAATACTTTTCATAAAAATGTTTTCCCGTTTAAAAATTATCTGAACATGTAATCTTGACATTATTGTGATTGACTTTGAATGTTGTGCCTTTTTTTTGCTCAGGGCCTCACACTCTGCTTTAACTTATTTAGTCAAGGCTCTACCACTTGAACCATACCTACACTTTTGTCATCTTATTAATTAATTAGAAATAAGAATCTCTGGGATTTTGTTTGTCCTGGCTGGCTTCGAACCACAAGTCTCAGATCTTAGCCTCCTGAGTAACTAGGATTACAGGAATGAGCCATTGGTGCTTGGCTACATACCACATTTTAAAGGAGTGTTTTCCAAATGGACACCAGATTTAGCATGTATTTAAAATTAGATACCCAATGGATTCTTGCTCCTTATATTTTAAGTGTATGATTCATTATATTGGAACTGGAACATTTTATGTGCCCTAAATTAGATTCTTATGGAAGTCGTCCTACCTTATCTAAACTTTACTTTTTACCTATTTACTCTTCAGAGATTTCAAAAAGTGTTTGTGGATTTTTAGTGAAATATAGAATTTCTTCCTGTATATATACTTTATTGTGTCTATAATGTTCTCATCTATAATTCTTACTAAATCTAGTGCACATTGGCTTCAGTTGGCCTTGTTTCTGTTGCCAAAAATTGACTACTTGGTACAATCTGATTTTTTTGTTTTGTTTTGGGTCCGGTTGTGGGGCCTGAACTCTGGGCCTGGGCACTGTCCCTCAGCTCTTCAGCTCAAGGC